TTATTTATTACAATCGTCTTTTTTTTCATAATAATTATGATGATGATTCGTCAAGGTCAATATATAAATCTAATATATGTATTCGGTTATGTTATAGATATTATCACGGACATCATGCGCGAAAAAAAAGATATTATTCAAGACGTTTAACGAGAATATGATGAACTCTTTTGTAACTCATTGTACAATTCATTATTCGTTGAGAAACGGATTGTGTACTTATTCTCGCAAACAAATAAATTTAAGAAAGAGTACTTACTTTTAAGCATTTTATCACGCAATTCAACTTTTAATTAATCGATCTTCTTTATATTGTAAATCCATTCGCCTCTAATGAAAATAGGACTTTGCTAAATACTACGGCGAATATTTCTTGCAATCGGATTATTTATGAATGTTCAGAAATATAATTGCTGCGTATCTTTTAATTAGTTCGTCGTCCTTTTCTGGTATTTATCTTTTATTTCCATTATATACCGCTGGCTCGTTTAAACAAGTGTTAGTTTATTCATATAATCAAATATGCAGTATATTAATTTTTGCCTTAATTGTGTTTATTTTACGCTAATTTGTTTCAGTATGTGATTAAAGCATTGAAAAATTATATTTGTTATTGAATGTTTCAAACTGTATTTCACAAGATTGATTATTCTCCCTATTTCTCATTTATCCACACACACAAAGTATTTCACGTTACTGCTTGTTATGAAACGTGAGATTATATTTTATATTACATCATCTCATTATTCATCATTCAGAATCGGGATTTAACTTGTTATACATCAGCATGTTACTTAAAACTTATATTACTTATATGTTTCGCGTACGTACTAACGATAACGCATTTGAGAATATTTGCGGCAGTAATATTGAAATTTTTTATATATATCCGAGCCGAGATATAATATTTTTCATTTGGAAAAATTATGATCAATGACATTGTTTAAGGAGTGCATACACGTGATAGCGAAATTTAAGTGAGAAATTTTCGAAAATGTTAAAAAACGACAAAAGAGAGTGGAAAAGAAAAAAGAAAAAAAAATCCTGCCTTACTCTGCCGGAATAGAAGAGATACGCCCGCGGAGCAAACTTTGCGCGAAGTTGCACTTGTTTTTCGAAGAAGGAAACACGGGAGAGAGGAAGAAAAATTTGAATACGATGACGGATGTATCAACCATTCATCGTTGTTTGCAAATGTAAATTGAATCTTTTTTTCTCCACAAATGGGAATTTGATATTGCATTACATCAATCTACGAGATCTCTATCTCATGCATTCTTTTTAAACACAAAAAAAAATGATAAACCGAAACAATACCGAACGTAATATGTTTATGCTCACAAAAGATCCGGAGTTACTTAAATCTTTGTAATTGACATAAAGCTGAAAAAACGTTTTCTTGGAATAAATTTACTTTATGTTCTCTAGATTAAATCTTTTTAAATTCTCAAGACAATTTTCTCTCTCTCTCTCTCTCTCTCTCTCTTTCTAAATTTTCCTTTTGTAATATTATAATGTGTTTCTTGATGTTTTCTATACTTAGTGTTGTTTTTCAGCATCGTGTTTTTTTTTTCAGTAAATTCAATAAAACACGATGTAAATTATTCAAACAAAGGTCCGCTCTCTGACAAACATTTAAACGTAACAATGACATTTCGTGGATTAATTAACAAATAGAGGAGACAAAGATTCAATTATCTGAGCAAATGAATTAATCATGGTATACGATATAATTAATTAGCAATAATTGCGCCCTTAACTCGAAGCAGCGCGAGGTTACAATATTAATCGGAAATTTCGCGAAATTGACGTGAGTGCGATCGACAAATGTTATACAGCTTGACGAGTATCTCATTGTGTGTTACACTGCCATTGGCAATGTAACAACATAGAGGAGAGAGTGCAATCTACGATGCGATAAAGCAACGCGTGCCAATGTCGTTAATGGACTTACTACTGTGTGTAGCACATGTTGTTTTGCTGATTTGTGTTTTTCCATCCATTAAAAATCACTCGAGCAAGAAAATCGATAATTTTTATCCGACAACACTTAAATAACTCGCGTTCCCGATGTTAATCCGAAACTGTATATTTAAGCGACGTTTAATTGTGTCGGATTGGTGCGCAATGTTAATCGTTCAATTGAAATTGCAAAAATGGTGCAGCAAACCGGCAATTGACTGAATGTTAGCCGCGAATCAGCAATGTATCGGGAGAAGTACCAATACCTGCGATAAAAACTTTATTAGTACGTCACGCAAAATTCTGATATTTCATATTCACAAGACGTGGGAGGGGTATGATATTATAAAATATTGCTGAGTTGTTTCGGTGGTTTCATTTTGCACAAAATTTGATCATTTTTTTAAATCTGCTTTATCTGTCATCTTCACACTTCAATCAGTTTTATCGATAAGTTCCATGTAATTTTTCGATAAAAAAAACTTGCAAGTTTTTTTTTCTAGAAAGTTTGATGCGTGAACTCTCTCGTAGAGATAAGCGTTTTCAAAAGCAACAATATCAAACGTTGTAAAAAAAAACGTTATCTCAACGCCGACAAACTTAATAAATATTGTGTCTATATTTTTGAATGATTGTGCTTGCGATCGTTCGCGAGTATCTATCGTTTATATTCAAAAGTAACGCGCGCAGTTTCCAATTCCAACACGTCCATGTGGCGACTCAATTATTTGGTCATAACGACAATTTTCGACATGGTTTTTTAATTGTTTGAGACGAATTAAATTGAACGAGAAACAAATTAATATTGTTTGTCCTGCTGATTGAATCTTGTTGAGCGAAAGAAAATCTGCAAAGTGGACTGTGTAAAGTCGATGCGGTCGTGTGCTGCGGGAAATTCCCGCGGAACGCAGCTCTGTGAATTAACGATGCAACTGGTAGTACCTGACGCGCTACGTGATCGACGCCGGGTCTCTCTATTAGCGTTTGTATCGATCTAACGCGTGAAAAAAAATACCGTACGATATGTATGTACGTGCGCGAACCGATATGTGAATCGATTCGAACGGAATTCGAAATTGAACGGAATTTTTTAACATGTAAACCGTAACATATTGCCACGTCTGCCGAAATTACGAAAGTTCTGTATTTTTTATTTATAAAAATTAAACGTAATTGCAAAAAAAGAAAAACTGAAACGGTTGCTCACGCTGGCTAAAAACTGTCACACAAACGTATGTTTAATTAAGAAAATAACATTATATTTATATCTATTTATATTTATTGCTTTTTAGTGCAATTTCTATATGTTATGAACATATTCCCGTTTTTTCTCTCCCGGTTCCAATAAAATTCACAATAATTTAACTAAGTATGTGAAATCTTTATTTTATGTTAAACAATTACAAACTTCTCGTAATTTATTGCGCGCAAATAAATGATTAATTATTGAGTCCTCGGTTTTTTTATTTACGTAAAATGAAATTTTAATTTTTACGATAGTGCTGGAACTCAATCTTTAAACTGTTTCACGTTACAATCCGCAGCAATAAAAGATTGATTAAAAATGCATTTTCGTTTTCAGAAAAAAAATCAACCATCAATTACTAATTAGCAATCAATACACATATTACACGCCTACGCACATGTACATATATAAAAGCGTCTCATTTATTCATAGCTGTCACGCCACTTGATCGTGCTTTAACCAATATGAATATTTCCTCAGAGGCGTCTTTCGTGATCCTCTTTGACGAAACTTTATTCATTTCGGTCTCTGTAATCTGGCTTAATTAAACTTCCACTTCTCACTCCGCTATACCGTCTTCAGAGTGGATTAGCCGAACGTATCCTTCTTAAGTCCGGATCTGAATCCGGATCGAACAAAAAAAATTCGACATCCGAGTATAGCCACTAGCATTGCGTAACGACGTTGTTTGGCGTTGCGTTTTCCCATCGAAGAGCAAAAGCTCGATAGAATAGATAGAGCGCGATAAAGCGAAACGGGAGATAAGACGTTACGAGTGATCGTGTTCTGTGTTTTACGTGTGGAACTAAACTCCACTTGCCTTTATTACTTGACGAAAGCACGCGTGTTAATGTCGCTGTGATTAAATAACGTATCGCGTAAGAGCCTTAGAGTCGGTTTTATCTTCTCAAATGTACTCGAGTTTTTTTCATCTCGGCACTTGCTCATACAAAGATGTAAAATTAAACAGCGCGCCAAGTGTGTCATTTGATTTAAAAAAAAAAAAAAATGAATAACTTTGTCTAACGTTCTTTTATGAAAAAAAAAAAAAACGTCCGCATCTCCATAATTAGACAAATCTGTCGAATGTTGCAACGTCGTAATTCGATACGCGTGGATCCTTGGCATCGCCAAAAAAAAAAAAAAAAGATTTTGATGAAAACGTTAAATTAGCTGACGCTATATACGTTTTCCTTCCACGCGTGTGCGAGCACATGGTCGCTTAACTTGGCCAGTATCTAAATATAAAGCATATGTGACCCGTTTATTTTGAAGGTAGCTTAAATGGAATTTCAAAGAATAATAAACTCTCATCAAACACACACATACGAATGAAAAGATTTATATCACATAATGTTTATTGCTGATATGTGTGTTTAAAGCTTTTCAAACTTTTGTATATCTGTAATATGATATGTTGTCAATTAATATAAATTGTTTTTTTGAAATCAAAACGATAGAGTGAAAATTGCTTTTTTTTTTATCGTAGATAACAATTTATGGAATAACACGCAAAAATATATTTATGAACATATTTAGACATATATTTTGTTGCACTTTTTTTTAATTTCTGCAAACTATACAACACAACGAAAAAAAATTAAGAATTCTTGTTTTGCTCCGTTTTATTATTTTCTTTTATCAACGTTATGTCGATTTTTATTTTATAAAAAAACTTCAAGCATCGCAAACTTTTCTCATTTTCTCAAAACTCAATATTGTCGAAGCATGCGCGATTATTCGACAACATATTCGTTTAGGCGCTCGCGCGCGAGAGCTGTTCTTCACTTACCGAGTACAAATAGCAGCAGAACTTGTTGCGGGAGCCGAGCCACCATTGTGGGCTCGTCCGCTCGTACATCTATGAATTTAAATCGAGCGATCCTGCGTGTGCCGTGCCCCCTCAATTTTCCCGTCGCGGTCGCCAACGCCCGCCGCAACAACATTCATTTAACGTTCTCCCGGGCTTCTACGTGGGCGTACACGCGCTGCTTATCCAGTTTGTGTCCGCGCGCGCACGGACCTTTACCACTTAGCACTCTCCTCGGGGCGAAAAAACACTTCAGTGCCGCGCACTCGGCGCTTCCCGGCTGTTTCGCCGTCGGTACTCAACAAAACCGGCAAAGTTCTGGCATTCGGAAAAAAAAAAAAAAAAAAAAAAAAAAAAAAAAAAAAAAAAAAAAAAAAACTGGCCACTTTCCCACGTCGATCGCGAGTCGCGCACACACTCTCGCCCGATTAATTTCTCACAACGATGCGATTCCTGAAATTCGTGGGAATTGAACGTCGATCCCCTGGTTCACAGCAAGTATAGCGATCGCGCGAAACGCTCCCGGCGCGCTTCCAAAATGACGACTTTTTCCCGTGTGTTTTTTTTTTTTTGTCATGTGATGGAAACGCGATTTGGCCAGGTGGCCCGATATTAATCGGCCCGCGGCGCTCTCGCGTGCGGTGACTGCGATTGGGTCGCGCTCTCGATGCCTGGTATCTATGCACATAAATATTTTAGGGGCGCGTTTGCCAAAAAAACAAAAAAAAGAAGAAAGAGAGACAGAGAGAACAGACGGCACAGATAAGAACGAACAAACGAACGGATGGACGAGAGGTGCCGAAAGATAGAGAGAATCGCGGACAAAATAATTTACAAGTGAAATATAACTTGACACTTTCTGGATAGTATCTAGCGGCGAGAATGTAACAATCGCTTTGGGAAATGCTGTCGTTGAAAGGGTTTCGAAAAAAAAAAGACGCAACACCAGAGGCGGACTAAGAGTCTTGCGTGCGCATATACATATATATATACATATATATATGTGTGTGTGTGCGAGGGTGTGCACAATCCCCCTGTACAATACCTGAATATACGTGTGTTACACGTGTGTGCGCACCGCACTGTCAGACGCAGTAAACTTATTGCGCGACAATTGCTGAAGAAAGCGACGATGTTTAAATTGAAAACCGATAAGTCTTTCTTCTCCGAAAGTTAACCGATTGCTATTGTCTCTATTTTCTCGCGAAGAATCTTTCTCTTCTCCCGCACACGGGAGAGATTAGAAAAATCTATAATTTTTATATAAAAATATATTCGCGCGAAAAAACTTGGTTTTTTTTTTTCATAATTCCACGCCCGTTTCAATCTAGTTACCGGACTTGGATCAACTTGAAAAAACAGTTTTGTTGAGATTACCAAATTTTGGCAATCTCAACCAAAATTTAGTTTCCAGAACACTTTATTTGGTTTAATTTACCAAATTTTTGTTATCTCAACAAAAACTGCTTTTTCTGCGATGTGTCTGGTGATACGGTTTTGTGAAAAAAAAAAAAATCAATGTGTCACACCACATGTCACACCGGTGTATAAGAGCGCGGAGATATACGTTGAGCATAACGAGCAATCAGATAAAGCTGTCGTGTATTACATATTTGTAGAAGCGTAGACAAACCGACACGTGAACATGTGTGTGTGTGTGTTGCGCGAAAGGTTTCGTACTGCCACGATTACCGCGAGTTACATCCGCGAATAGATGTGGAAATCCCACGCGAAATAATCAAATTACATCGTCTCGTCGAGACTTCGTCTAAAAAGACGACGATCGAACGCAACGGGGAACGCACCGCGACGATCCCAACTTGGGGAATTACAGGAGGCTCGTCTAATGGATTTGCCAAGTTAACGAATCGGAACAAGCTGATAACGTTTCGTAATTTTGTTCGGATTAATACGCGAACATGTACTTCTCGTCAAGCGAACTCTCGTTCAAGCTGTGCTACTTGAGATTTCCTACACGCCCGTGCCGTGCTTCTGTATATATATATATATATATATATTGCGCCCGTTCATTTTCTCTCTTAACGCGAATCCGCTTTTTCTCTATGGAAGAATAAAAACGGTCGTTTAGTTCACGCCGTAGCGTCAACAGAGCGAACGTAAAAATCGCACGACACTCGGCGGCGCAGCGGCGCCGTTTCACGCCGTGAAGTGTCACGCGGGTATAAGCTTTTCCCCGAGACCACCTTTATCCATTGTGTCGCGAGATCAATTATTTAAATCGAGTTTCTCTTTGTTGTGAATTCCATTACGGAGAGATAGATTTACTTTCTGGTTTTAGAGAAAGAATTCTCCTAAAAAAGTTATAAATATTTTTACAGAGAAGAGTTACATACACGTGTGTTCTAGTTACATAATAAATTTTATTATATTTTACACGAGATTTCACTCGTGTAAATTACATATTCTACGCGATTGCACTTGTAATTCTCACGTCGTCGTTTCGCACGACGCGATTTTTCTGAACACGAAATTATCCGATAAGAAAACCGAAGATTGGAAATGTTTTTAATTTGTTCGAATCAAAAATTCTCACCGATTTTTCATTTTTTTTACAAAGTTCGTACTAGATCTCGCAAAAGATTTTGTTCGCGTTTTCAGTCACATTCGAAGACCCTTTGTTCTGATTTTCGTTGAATATTCAGGATTTTGCGCGAAGGGAGGACATTCGATAAAAACAGATCTACGCTTTCAAAAACTTCTTTTGTAATGTCGCCGGCCTTTGCAATAATTTGAACGGTTTTTTTTTCTCTCTGGGCGTCGTCATACGTGATATGCCTTTGAATTATTTATATACGTGACACACACACACACACACACGTACGTATATCTCCCGTTAAATGTTCGTTCAAATTACATTTGAAATCACACGCGATTACTCTTTTTACGAATTTTGTTCTACAACATCGTTTGTCATTCCCGTTGTTCGAAAATATTTCGAACACACACACGCGCGCGCGCGCGAAGGAACTGTTTTGCATTCCGCACTGCGCGTCAAAAACTTGGTAGTGTTTTTTTTCAGAAAATATTCGTATTTTGACGCGTATCAACTTTCGTATTTTTGTAGATTTTACTTGCGAAAACGTGGAAAACAATCGTTCAAATCCGTCTGCGCAAACACGTGTGACAAAATTTGTTTAAAGGAGAGAGCAATATCAGATACGCGAATGTTTGAATTTCTCTCTGATTCGAAATTTTCGTTATTTATTTGTTCATGAGAAACGTTGCTCTTTCCTATCAAAATACGTATTAATATGCAACGGAATTTGCACATTGCTCAAGTTTACATATTGCATTAAGCAACCTTAACTCGTGCCGTACGTACATCTCTCGTTTGCATCGAGAAGAATAATTGCGGCTTGATTGACTTAACGCGACGAAAATATTTTAAATCAAAAAAAAATTCTCAAAAATCCGTGACGTGCGTCACGTTTGGAAAGGTTCGGATTTATGCAACTGCGAGAGAAATCCCGAAGAATGAAGAAATGATCGGGCGAACGAGTTTTCTCTGTCGCACACGCGTGCCTGGAATACTTGACGTTTTTCTCCGCTCCGCGCACGTATTCCCCGTTTCGGTTTGCAATTCTTCGCGAAAGCGTGAGGCACAATCTTCGCTAGAACGAATCGTCCTTCACAGGAATAACTGTGCATACGAGACCGCCTGTGGTCCGCGCGTTCGAACAGATTATTCCGTAGAAATCTCCATAAACGGCAACCGCAGAAGACGCCTTTCCGCCGTAGTGCTCACGACGAAATTCGCTCTCCCGTAAAACAGAATTTCAATCGAGGATCGCGTTGCACCTCTTGCACGTGCGTCGACTCGTCGATGCGGAAACACCTCCGAAAAATTTGCGGATTTCATTCGGAATTCATTCGGTGCGGTGAAAAAAACGTGAAATGCGATTCACACACACGTCGCCCACCGCATTCGTGTTTTGACGCGCTTACAATATTGCTGTACATTTTGTGATTATATCTTATCAAAAAAAAAAATTACTTCGGTATAAGAGAGAAAAGCAGCTCCCGAGGCCGCTTGGGCAAGTTGCCGAGATTTTTCGCGGATATTTTTGTCACGCGGGCCACAAACGCATCGGGTCCAAATCGCCATCACCGCCAAGCGTATGTTTCGGAATATGTAACTCACGTGTGCGTGTGCTCGACCGATCACGAGCACGTTTCGCGCGATTTTTTTTACAAGTGGATGATATAACGTGTGATCTTTCTCTTTCTCTTTCGATCGAAACGGACGTTCTCGTTTCTCGCGTATATTCCCGAAGAGGCTCGCTCGACGATCGCTCCGAAGAGTTCGCTCACTAGTCAACGACACGGGCAATATGCGTTCGGATGAAAAACACGCACTTTTCACTTCGCCGCTGTAATAACACGAGATAAAACGCACGTATGCACGCACGTGCTCTTCTGTTTCGCGCGATCACACGGAGTCAAATGTGTCGCCCGCCCGTCTCGCGCCGACCAAGTAGTACAACTCTACTACTGTACCGATGCGTCGCGCGCGGACTCCGACTGCCGACTGACTACTACTAGCCGCGATCTGCACTCCGGGGGGGCCGTTTCCACTGTCTTGCTCTCACGCCGCTTTCCCGGCGCCGTCTCCGTCGCGCCAATCGACGTCGCATTATCCTCTCGAGGCTACACTTTTCGTGCGAAATTTCTGCAAAATTCACCCCCTTCTCCCCCTCAAACTAAGAGCGTTCACGATAATTACTTTTTTCTTTCTCGCCAATTGCGTCAAAAAGATATGTTTTTTCGCGTTACAAGCGACGTGTAAGTAGGCGTTGTTATAGAATATCAGATGATCTAATAATTTTTATAGCAAGCAAAATTGTAATTAATGTTAATTAACTTCAGCTATTTGACGCGCGATATGTTATTGCCTGTTTTATCACAATAATAAACTAGAAATGTTACTATTCAAAACAAAGTTTCTTTGAATTTATGATATAAAAACGGGAATATTTCAAGCTTCTCTCATTGTTTTCTTTGTAATATCTTAATGAAATAACAAACGGTCTGATTTTATATCTCTTTGCTATGCATTATTCATAATGAAGAAAGCAAAGAAGATGTAGGTTCGCAAACACTGGCAAAATGTCCAGGTAAATAAAAGAGCATGGATTTCTGAAAAGATATTTACAAAGAAAACCTCACAAAAACGATGTATTTTTCTCGAGTTTTGAGCGTGTGAAAGAAATTACACGGATAAGATATAAAATCGAAATGATCAGTAAGATATGCGAACGGTGAAAGCCGTTCAATTACAAAAATATTAAATTTCATGCGACATTTATAATAGAAGAGAAATTAATAACTCATGACAAACCTCTCTTTATTATATCTTTATTATAACGAACTTTGGCAAGTCATTCTAACTAATATTATGATAATTGTTTAAACCCACAATTTTTCTCGATAAAAGTTTGCGACTTAGTTAACTTGCGGTAAATGAAAGTTTGTCGAAAGAAAAATTGGATCTTATAATATCAATCTACGAGGAACGATCTAAATATCACCGACCAACAATTTCTTTGTAATTAGTTAAAAAAAATCTGTTTTTGTTTTAGTGTTAGACAGAAAGCTCAAAATCTCCAAAATTTTTACTGCGTATAACATAATTTTTTATGAAGAATATGATTTCAATAATAAACACAAAAGACTTCGAAACTTCTTGCGTTTTATGTCAGCAACAAGGATTCGGATATAGTAACAATCCGGTGGCAAAACATTTGCGTGTGGACCGATATTACATCCCCAGGACGGGTATTCTTATTGAAAAGCTATCGCACGACGTTCTGATCGAGCACCTGTCGACGCCAGACTTCGGTCAGGCTTTTTCCAATTCGACCAGGCATTCACCGCTTGCATAGTTACTAAACGCGATGCTTATTTGAGTAAATTGCAAACTGCGGTTGCGTGCATCGACGATCAATTCGTCTTTTTTCAAAAAGCCATTTTGAGAGAGAGAAAGAAAGAGAGAGAGAGAAAGAGAGAGAAGAAAGATTTTTTAGTAATTTTAAACTTTCTCTTTTCTCGTAAATTAAAAAAATCTTTATAAATCAAAGTTATTACATATATTATTTTACAATTTTATAAAATTACAAAAGTTTTGTGAGAAGAACAGGTATTATTACTGCTGAAAAAGAGTTTTAACATTTAATAATTATCTAAAGAGTAATTCACGAATATATAAATTTAATGAAAGTTAATGAAATGTAATTTTATTGTATAATATCTGGTGTACGCGAGTGTCCCCACAACGAACTGCAAATTAACATTCAACTATTCCAAGTTAGTTCGCAGTTTAATTTATATACTGCGATGCTCGCATCTGTGAAAAACAGGTATGAAGTTGCGTTATTTGTCTCCTGTATCTAATGTATTGTTTTATGAGAGCATGCGCAAGCAAGCGTAACAAAAGCGACACGTACATTGTGTTGTGCGTTCAAAGTTAGCTTCTTCTCTCACAGAACAAACTTATCTTACTCGAGGACACAATTACGATTTTTTTAACGTCAGTTTTACATTAAAATTGTAAAGACGAAGTCAACAAAATATCATGTTTTATTGTCTTAATAATAATATTGCATCATGGTGCATTGTGTGCACTCGATCGAAGTACATGCAATCAAAGAGTGCATAAATGTAAAAATAAAATAATTTTGTGTTTTGCGTAAAAACAAATTAAGTTTTTTGCGACTAAGAAAGAAAAATAGTTGTTCGTGTACGACTGTCTTCTATTTCCAGAAATTCTACTGCTATTGCGGAACGACCAGAAGGAGAGACGTAGAAGAGAGTCTTCCGGAACGTATTTCCAAGAGATTCTTATCGCTCTGTGCGAATCCGTTGAAGAGCACCAGGTTCTTTGTCGATTTTTGAAACCGCCGTGTCTTTACCCGTTATTTCTTCATTCTTCTTCGTATTGTCCTTCGGAATTTTCCGGAGATCGATTAAATATCGCGTTCTCAAAAAGAAGTATTTCTCATTGAAGTATTCTATGTTGAAAGAAGAAAGAGAGAGAGAGAGAGAGTGTCGAAGAAAACATTCTTTTTCGTCTCACAAGAGATCTCGCGTTAAAATAGTAAATGTATCTTCTTTCTCTGTTGCCGAGACTAAAGCTGGGTTTCAATTGTTATTTTACGGAAGAATAATAGCGCGTAGTACTAACCTGTTGTCGCGTTTGTGAAGTTTCGAAATCAAAAAATAAAAACTGACTAAATTTCACACGCAACCAATTTGTAGAAGGAAAAGTTGTACATCCAATTTTCTTTCCTAAATCTAGATAGAGAGAGAGAAAAAAGATCGATTGTGTTGAAATGAACGAACATTGTTCTCGCGTTTCTTATACTTTTTATTAAATAAAGCCGAGTACAGCTTGTTTGACGCATCGCGGCTAAATAGATACAAAAGTAAATGTTACTTGAGAACGTTTACACGACAATTAATTAATATTAAGAAAAATATTATAATTTACACTTGATCTAGTGGTTACTTGAGTTTAGCTCAACATGAGCGCCAGTGCGAGACTTATCTTCTAATGTAACGCTGAACGGGACAGGAGGCGGAACTTTGCGTTGTGTTTTTTTTTTTTTTTTTTTATTTTTTTCCGAGATCGACGGATCGGAAAATCTGTTTTCTTCTTTCTTGGACGGATCTAAGACAGCTTTTAACGGGAGTCGGTGCAAGGATCTTTCGCGTCGTCTGCGCATGCACACGTCCTGCCGCCTTGACCGTCCGGTAGACAAAGTTGATCCGCGCTGCATCTTCCGTTTTCATACTGGCACACGTTACTCACTACGAACGAATAGCGGTTGTAAATATTTACGAAGTTTCTGACGATATTAAATTCTCATCTTCTAAAGAATTTATCTTTAAAAAGAGAGTGGGGGAGAGAGAAGAAGTCTTGCGAAGTCTCGTTAACTTCTCGACCTCGCGAATGCGGTGAATCGAAATTACTTTGTTTCTCAAAATATGTATATTTTTTGAGAAATATTTATGGAGATGAAACTCACCCCTCGGGCATGACTCGGGAACGACCGCAATGCCGTATAATTTTCCGCTTCCACCTGGTGGAACAGACAACGGCTTGCGTCTTTCGCCATTGGTTTTCATGCCAACTTCGATCTTGTGTCTGCAACGCGAGAAGTGCGATATATATATATAAAAAAAAAACTTTCGTGCTTTTTCGAGTTGTTGTTTTGATTTTTTTTTTTTCGCGAATGTGTTTTATCTTTGTCTTACGTTTTCCAATCGGTCCAATAATAATAATTCTGAGAGATTGCCAAGCCAAACGGATAAATAAGCTCATTGGCGACGACGTTAACTTCCTTGTTGTCTATTTCGACACAGCCTGAGAACAAAAGGTCAATTTATTTGTCAAGAAACGAGCAAGTAGAGCGTTAACAAAAACGTATCCGACATTTTTGAGCCAAGATTAATGAATACTATTTCGATGCGCGCTCACTGATTAAAATCTATATTTACTTATCGTGAACGTTCCGGCGTCGGCCCAGCAAAGCTCATCCGTCGACCAATCAATACTTAATGAATTTGGTAGCTTAACGTAATCACCCTGAAGGAAGATTGCTCGGTCAGTACCGTCTTCGTTAGCCCATTCCAGTTTGGGGGAAGCGCGATTCCAGTCGGACCAAAATATTTTACTTAAATAAAATAATATCAAAAATTATTAGTGTTATTATTATAAAAAAAAAAACATATCTATTGTAGTAATTCAAACAGAAGGAGAAGAAAACACTTTTAATAAATTAAAAATTAGTGTTTGCAAACTTTTAAAAATCAGTTCAAAATTATTCGCAAATTTGTAAGAAAGCTAGAAAATTACAGGATCATCAATATATGCTTTGCAATGATAATTAGATTGAGGAAACTGCCACCACCGTTCTCATTTTTAGTTGCGCAAATAGCGCGTCTAAGAATGTGATTGCAGCAAGCTCGAAGAGAAAGTACACACGGAACTGAAAAGTTTTGCAAATAGATTTTCTCCGCGCTGGCGGATCTTTACCCCCGATATGGATGAACAGCTATTCCCCTCGGATTGACCAGTCCATCGGAAACTAGAACTTTGCGTTTCTTTGTCACAAGACTGGCAACCTCGACGGTCGTTTTGCCTGAATCGGTCCAGAAGATATTCCTCGAGACCCAATCAATCGACATTCCCTCGGGACTGCTAACTTTCGGAATAAATGTCTGCGCCATCGATCCATTATAAGATAGTTCGACTATCCTATTGCCTGCAAGATAAAGTGCGTTCTTTTTTTTTATCTTGCAATTAGTCAGTAATATCTTTTTTCTTAATTTATCTAATTAACAATTGGTAAACGAATTAATCGACGCGTTCTTGTGAATTAAAGTTGTCTAAAAACTGTTGTTGTGAGCTGCAAAAAAGCTCGGAGTTAGATAATTTTCAATGTCAAGTATGTATAAAATATATACGTCGACAAAAATTCGGAATAAGTAGCCTCGTCTGAATCACAAACGCGCAATTTACCAGTTATGTCGCTGGAATAAGCTTTGCCGGCGAGGCAATCGATATCTAGGGCGATCGCCATTTGCGTGTAATCTATGTAGATCGGATTTCCTGGATTCTGTTGCGTGGGCGTAAACGGTATTCGATGCGTGGCCATTCCTTGATTAACAAGCAAAAAGTTGGAGTCGTGTTTGGGTCGGGGTTTGCAGTTCATACCGTCGCCGACGTAACCCTCGTTGCAAACGCAAGCGAACTGATTTTCGCCGGCCGTCACGCACTTTGCTTCCGTGGAACAGAGATTCGGGTCGTGTCTGCACGAGATATGCGGAAGACACGTGAAACCGTCTCCGTAATAACCCTACGAGCCATCAAAATTATACATCGTAAAATCACACAAGAGAATCGCAGCGCATTTAATTAACCGAAATTACATATTTCCAACTCGAGAAAAGTTTTAGTTTTTAGTTGCGAACAAATTTGTATTTTCGGAAAAAAAAAACACGAAACTTTGTTTAACGTCGGTAGAAAATGCTACTACTGAAATTTGCATTTTAATATTTATAAAATCAAAGCTGTGTGTTGTTAATGCAATGTGAGCTCTGTGCGTATTTTATGTATGTGTGTGTGTAAATTCAAGTACGGAATCGTCCGTATCAACGCACCGGTTGGCAAATGCACGCGAAATTCGCGGACGTCTGATTGTATCCGCAGACTGCGTTTCGGCCGCAGTTATTCAAAACGTTACATCCGATATGGTCCTCCACGCACTGGCGCATACCGTCGCCGTGATAGCCGCTTATGCAGACACATTTGTATCCACCGTCGCCGGATGACACGCATTGCGCGTTCACGTGGCACTGAGAAGGATTCGTCGAGCAATCGGACAGCACGCATCGATCGTCCACCGTGCTATAACCGGGATTACAGGTGCATTCGTAACGCGAGCTTATGGGATGATAGGTGCAACTTTCGTTCTCCTCGCAGTCAGAATTCTCGTTGCACTCGTCTGGAAAACGAAAACAAGATGTCGTGCAACACACTCACCGTCTGGGTTTTCATCGCGCAAAGTAAGAGAACGAACGATACGAGAATATCTCATTTGAAATAATTACTATATAGCCGAACTACATAGGAACAAAAATCTGGGAAAGTCCCGTGACCGTCGAATTCTCGATTTGTATGCTAATGCGAAATGCAAAGAAGGCAATATGTATGCGCAATGGGGATTACTGATCGAAGAGAAGAAATCGCGGGCATTCCGAGATGCGTCGTGCGACATGCGCGATCGCGTGAAACCAAAAAAAAAAAAAAAAACTTAAAAAAATTGATAAAAGCACCGATGGGACTGCATGTTGTTCCGTCGCCCTTGTATCCTGGATTGCACACGCACTTTGCAAGCGGCTCCTCGTGCTGGCAGGACGCGTTCGGGTCGCAGACGTCCACGTCCAAGCAGGATACTTCTGCGCGAATAAGAAGCACTGATATGCATTATCGTCAACATACCTTTCTCACTCCTCTTAGACTTTTTCGTCGAGAAAAAAATGTATAATTGTATGTGAAAAAACAGCGGACATTTCAAAAATACAGAATTTTTATCGAAAAATTAATTAAATCTATTGTACGTGCCAACTTTACATTTTTGCAAAAATGTTGCAATAATATACATTGTATCGTAGTGTAACATACGCTCTTCGATATATCCTGATTGATTGTCGGCTAACAATAAGTGAAGACGCGCAAGATGCATTTTCTCGTACCTGTCTTGGTGCATTCCATACCGTCGCCTTTGTAGCCCTGGTTGCAGCGGCATTCGTAATAGCCGGTACGCTTCACGTAGATGCACTGAGCGTAGGGATGACACCTGTTCACCACGTTGCAAGATACTGGACATAAGCGTGTATGCGATTATGATATATTGCTTAGGCAAGCGACGACGATAGCCGGCCTGTTTCCGATAGCGAAAAATTTTTTAACAGACTGCGGCGAAAAAAGAACTTTCGCGATTTTGTTCAATGAGGAGAGTTACACATGAAGTTAATTATCGGATATTTTCTCCCGTTGATGACGAAAAAGCATCTGATATTGCAACAAATGTACATCGACAACTTTAGGAATATACATAAGAGCATTTCGCGAGATACCAATATGAAATATATATATATATTGAATGACATGCACAAGATAAAAAATTACGAAAAAAAATGTTTTGCAGAAAATATTAGCACACACTAGTTTCCCAAGATCGTTCGAGACGTCGAATTTACTTTAGCGCGCATAATTTGAAACATCACGTTTCACATATAAACTTCGAGGAAACATTTCTTGAGAGAAATAAATATTTGTCTGAAGATCCTTGAGTTACTTCCGCCCGTGCATGAAATATTAGAAGACACAATATTTGCATTACTTGCAACACAAATATTAGTTGGAAAAGAGAAATTACATATTCTACAGAGACTACATACATTTCCTGATACGTTTTCCAATTTCGCGACATAATCTTCCATCGTGATATTTACCGAAAGGTCGCGCGCGTCGTCGTAAGTTTCTGAAAAATAAGTTTAGGAGAGAGTTTGGGAAAGATGGAAGAACTTTGAGTACACATATACACTTATTTACGGGAAATACCAACAACTTCTTTCTTATTTGCATTGCGTCCCGAAAAAAAAAGAGTCGGGATACATGCGAGAGACTCGCTCTCGCGCTAATTCGTACGTGCGCGCATCGAGAGAGAAACAAGAACGTTAACACATTTTGTTACATTGTTCGACAATTTTTCGACGTGCGTTATCGTTATAAAACAAAAATTGTTATTTCTCCGGTATCGCGCGAGTTGGGAATTCGCGCGCTCCGGACGGATGTTTTCATTAATTACAAGATAAAATGACGAAACGCATTGAGCGATGATGAAATTAAAACAGTCCCGCGCGTATGTAGCACTGTTATCGCAACTCGTTTAAAGAGGATGATATGCAAAGCGGTTTGAATGTTTATTAATGAACTTAAATAGCTTAAAGCCAAGCGGGTGAGCGCATCCCGTACAGTTAGATCCTGATGGACCCTTCGTGTCGTGGCGGTATCCTGGCAGAGGAACGCAAATTCGTAATCCAAAATGGTCGTAATCGTATCCCAGGGGACATATGCAGACGTCGTCGAAGCATTCCGGTAACGGACGTGCTGATACTAAAACGCATGATGCATCGACGAACGATGTTCGTCGCGTACCGTTAATTATTCATAATCTCAATTGTTATTACGCATTACACACATATACACTGATTGTATCCTCGCCTCGCGTGGATTCAATCTTGTTACTTCATTCGCGTGCAATATATTTGTTTCGAGAGCAATTTGCTCGTCATTCGATTTGCTTTCGTTTTAAATTAAAAAGCTTAAACGTCTTTGTCCGGCTTTTAATTAAAGAATTCTCTCGTAAAAAACACGCATCAGACGCGATGCTCTCTTCAGAGCGAGAAAAAACCACGACACATGTGTAACTATTAACGTCTATTAAGCTGGCGCAGCTTTTGTCGGAAATAAAAAAAAAAAAAAAAAAAAAAAAAAAAAAAACTGCAAAAAAAAAAAAAAATAAAGAGCAGTAAATTCTTGTGTCGTTTAACT